CCTCCCGCGCTAGCCTAAGGGCCACCTTAGCAAAGCGCATCCCAGGCTGCATAGCCGCACTACCCTACCCAACCATACCACACATAAACATGACACTACCCCCGGGGTTTACACAGACGAGCCGGCGAAGCAAGAAGAGCGCCAGAAGAAAGGGCCCTAGCCGGCGGGGCCCAGCCAGGACAAAAGGAGGTCCCACAAAGCGCCTACACCGGCCGCATTTGCGGTCGGGGTAGACGACGGATGGGGCCCACCTACGAAGGCTGTCCAGGCCTACACGAGTTGAGGCAGGATAAAGAGGGATAATCCCCCTCGATCCCAAATCATTGAGGCCAATTTCTAGCCATGGAATAATGGCGACTATGTCTATCTCTCGGAACAATTTGTCAGATATATTTTTCGTTAACTCCGAGTATCTTCAGTTCACATAATATATCAGTCATTCTAGTCGTTCAGTGTTCACTGCCAGAGGCTAACCTGTAGTAAACGTCATAATAAATATAACCGTGAAAAATTAGCTGTTGTTTTTCCAATCTTTTAGTTAAATTTTTTTGAACGAAAGTAGTCACAACAAATTTGCAGTTCTGATGTTATGATATTATAGTTAACCCTTTACTGATTTGTTCTTTTATCTTTACAACGTACGTTGATATGAATTCTTTGTTTTCCTTAACAATAAACATTTGTTATTTTTAGAATGTTTTCTAATGGCCTAACTTGCAACCTTCCATTTAGTTGTATGAGTGTTACTAGAGATTCAGGCTCTGATGAACTTCTTCCTAATAGAATGGCACGAGAACCAGTGTTATTGAATGTTTATGATATGTATAAAATAAATGAATTTACAAGTAATATAGGACTTGGTGTCTTTCATTCAGGTAAAGGTACAATATGTAAATACTTTTTTTAAGGTTTTATTTCTAGGAGTTGAAATATATGGTAGCGAATATGCATATGGAGGACATCAGTATCCATTTACAGGTATTTTTGAAATCAGTCCTCGAGATGAAAAGGAATTAGGAGAACAATTTAGATTTAGGTAGGGGTTGAGCAATGCTTTCTTTACATTCAACACATCTAAATATAAAAGAAAAATAATAATAGTAACTATTTTATTTTTTAAGGCAAACAATTCAAATTGGTTATACAGATTTTACAGAAGATGACGTTAAAAGAATAATAACTGAATTAGGAAAGGAATTTAGAGGGGATAGATATCATCTAATGAACAATAACTGCAATCACTTTTCTGGATCATTTACAAAGGTACAGTGTTCAAAATAGTTTATAAGTATTTCATGGCCATTCGACAATTGGCCCCTTCTATATTTTCTATTATTCTTTGAAATAGGTAAGCAGGAACAAGCACGTAATTTACAGCTAATTAATCTAAAATCACTTTAATCTGAATCAATTTTGTTTCGATAATTCAACATGGGTAACCCAAAAAGTATGCTGCATTTAGTTGCATTAGCATTAGTTAGTGTGAGTCGTAATGTGTCGGTCAAGATGCAAATTATACAAACAATTTTTTGTTGCTGTCATTGAATTTATAAGCTACACTAAGAGATAAGTCAAAGTAAGGACTGCTGCTTGCCTACAAATTTTGACGTTTGTAGGCCGTCAGAATCCGAGGGCATTGAGATCGACGCCCTCGGATCTAACAAATTACGCATGTATCATTATTTATTACATATAATACTTTTATTACTTATTACAACTGTTTAAGTAACATTTTGGCTCTTTTTAAAGCATACTTTCTTAGATCTGATGACGTTAAATGTGCTGGCCGTGGACGGCCTAACTTCTCTAAAACTGTAGACAATGTCAACAATTAAACGGACCCATTTGTCCTGTATATCTAATGATGTTTAAAATTTAAAACGCCGTGACCTATACTAAAATAATAGAGAATTTAGATAATGGACAAGAAAATGCAGTTAGTTTAACTTTAAAAAAGTTAAGCAAACAGTGATTACCAAGTTCTTTTCATTATGTGCATTCTTTTGGTAAGTTGTTGGTTTTGTGTTACTGATCAAAAGTCTCCACAGTACTTGGGGTCCAAAAATCATTTTTTTTCTACTTATAGCGATCTGAGTCAGTTCGCTCGATAATGGCTGCAAAATAGTATGTAGTCTGTAGTCTTTATTGTGCAAAGAGATGCCGACATAGTTTTTATACGGTTTCAATTATCTTCGTAAACACTATACATGTAGTACAATAAAAACAACTGTTTGTGTGGGTGTGCTTTTAGAAAAAATTAATCGAATGACTTCGAAAAGTTGTTAACATTTGTAACATGTACCAAACACCAAACTGACCACATTGACCTTTGGAAACAGTGGTTTGTAGATTGCATTCATCCATCTCTAAATTAAATAAGTGAATTGGATAACGCAATAATCAATCTCTGGGTTAAAAAAGAGTGACCTTTTCAAAGATATTTGAATATTGTTTTTTAAATAGATTATTATCGTTTCTTGATAAGTTCAATATTTTAACAAATAATCAGTATGGGTTTCTCAGCGGGATGTCCACGAGCACAGCCATTCATTCACTTTTAACTAAAATATACCATTTTATTGAACTTGATGAGTGCCCTATTGGAATTTTTTGCGATCTAAGGCTTTTGATTGCGTCAATCACGAAAGGCTGATATCGAAGTTAATATCTTTTGGAATAAGGGGTCTGGCTTTTGATTGGGTGCAATCTTTTCTAGAAAACAGAACTCAGTTTGTTGCTATAAAAGATAGCAGTTCGTTACAGTACCCTATACGGATGGGTGTACCACAGGGTTCAATTTTAGGTCCGATGCTTTTTTTGTTGTATATGAATTATCTCGATTCAATTTCATTAAATACAGGTTTCACTATCTACGCTGATGACACTTCCTTAATCACTTCCAGCGGTGATGATATAAATTTGGAGGCTAATTGTATTATTTTAAGATTTCACAGTTCACAAAAAAATTGTTATACTTTAGATTTTACCATTGATAACACGCGTTTAAGTACTGACTCTGAAGTAGTGAAGTTTTTAGGTCTTTATATAGATAAACATTTGAACTGGCATGCTCACTGTGATATACTAACGAAGAAACTCTCCTCTCTAACGTATCTATTTCGTAATTTGAGATCGGTTTTAAGTATTGAACAACTTCGTTGTTTATACTACGCACAAGTTTGTCGTTTGAGATACGGTCTCTGTTTCTGGGGTAACTCCACATTTACTACTCAGGTTTTTATTGCTCAAAAAAGGCTGCTAAGATCTATAATGGGAGTTCCTAGATCAAGGGTCGGCAACTGGCGGACCGCGGTCCAGATCCGGACCGTGGAAGGTAAAATACTGGACCGCCAAAAATTTTTTGAAAATATAAATTACTCAAATAAATTATTTAAAAGATATTTTTTTACGTTTGAGTGCCACCCTTATCATTTTTTCTAGTATTTTACAATTGTGTGTGTTTTGAGTTCTTAATGCAAATGAAAATAAAAAATTAGTAAGAAATATGAATTTTTTTCTGGACCTCGTTAAAAAATTTCAAAAGTATCCGGACCCCACCTAAAATTACTTGCCGACCCCTGTCCTAGATATTACTCATGCAGGGAAATATTTAAAAGCTTAAGAATTTTAACTTTGCCTTGTTTATTTATATTCGAATTGTATCTGTACGTGTTTCATAATAAGAGCAAGTTTGTGTTAAGTAGGTAGTTCTTATCATAGATACAATACGTGACAAAATATGGATTTTCATTTGCCATTTGCTCGAATAAAAATAACAGCTAACTCTCCCGACTGCTTGGGCCTTAAAATGTATAATAAACTACCCGAGGAACTTAAATCAGTGCAAAGTGTATATTTATTTAAGGGCGCTCTAAAGCAATTTTTAATGGAAAAATGTTGTTATACCGTTTCGGCATTTTTGCCTACTCTGTCTTAATTTGTAAGTCTTGACTATTTCTATACATGTATTAGTGTCTTTAAGGAAAATAAAGTATTATTATTATTATTATTAATATGGGACTGTTTATTCTCTTCCTCCCTCCTTCACACGCACATACGCGCACCCGCACACTTACACACCTGCACATGCACGCGCACACACGAACAACTCCACTATACTGGTCCCAAGTCCGGCACTCGATCACTAAAAAGATGGGGAAGGAGGAGGGAGAGAATAAACAATCTCATATTAAAACCTAGTTCACGTGGATCTGAAAGTAGCACTATATATTTCTTGAACTATAAGATTTATTATTGCGTTATCCAATTCACTGATTGATACTTACAGATGTTATTGCATTTAACTGAGTGATGGATGAATGCAATCTACAAACTACTGTTGCCAACGACCAATGTGGCCAGTTTGGTATTCGGCACATGTCAAAAATGTAAATTAGCAACGATTAATTTTTTCTATAACCATTTCACAAGAGCTACTGTTTATATTACAATATTTTACTCATACTACTTTGCAGTCATCTTCAGCAGAACTGACTCGGATCACTATAAGTAGGAAAGAATTGATTTTTAGAGCCAAGTACAGCAAAGACTTTTGATCAGTAACACAAAACCAACAACTTTACCAAGCTCACATTTTCATAAAGATTGTGTGGGGTCCTTTATTGTTGTCAAAAACTCTTTGGATTATTGAGCCTATATTGTATTGAGCACTTTAAAAAGTCTTGTACAATTCTTCTCTTATTTATTTGATTTCTAAGAATAATAGAAAAATAAGAAGGTGACCAATTTACAGCAACTTCTCTGTGCATTTTATATTGTATATTGTTCTGTGTTGAGTACTAAATTATTTCCTGTTCTATATTTAAAATTTATACAGAAGATGTTCCGTGTTTCTGAATCTAGAAAAATATATGCGATATTTTAGGACTTTATTGTTAATTGTTATGGTTTATTTTAATGGTGACTCCAAAAATGAATTTTCTGGGACATTAAAGATGTAATTCCTGATTGTCATTTTTAAATTCCTATTAACTTCAGGAGAACCTTTTTATTTATAAATTCAAGTGGTTAAAACAATTATACATTATTATATATTTATTTGTGAGTAAAAGGCTTTGCTCATAATACTTTTTGATATATTATATTATTAAAATATAACATAGATGTAATAAATTTTTATACTAAAATAATTTTTTTATCCACAATGAAACTTGTTGATAATTTAATTGTCATGAAACTCTTTCTCTGGAAATTTGACTCAAGAGGTTTATTTTAAATATATTATTACATGTCTATTATGTTTCTGCAAATGTAAAAAGAGTGTAAAAAACTTTGTTTTTACTTTGAGAGCTTAATAGGTTATGATTTATTGCCAAGCCGAATCAAAGTTATGATTGTAGGTAAGAGAAAAAACTGTTACATCTATGGATGATCAGTGCTACTCAATGCATAAGTCTGTGCCAAAAGCACTACAAAACAAAAACGATGACGAACGTACATACGGAGTTTTGTCATCTCTAGGCGAAACAATCATTTTTAGTTGATGGCATTGCGAGAAAAATTATAATTTTTTAAATGAATTCAATAATTAATTATTTCATATTTGAATTCAGGTTATCTTTCCGGGTCTTTCAATGTAGGTTTTGTCTAATCTATATAAGGGATCTTTAAAATGGGGTACAGGGGATAGGATTCTCGAAAAATAACACCCTGTATGTCATTGTGCTTCATTTGAATTGCTGTTCTTTAATCATTCACTATGGGACATTGAACGAGAAAAACTACTTCACTTGTTTTGCTAATGTTTCGACTTTAAACATTAAATTTTCAACAGGGCTCTGCATTCACAATTGTAGATACTTTGGCAAAGACGGTTAATACTTAAAAAAAATCAAGTTTTAAGCTATATTTTAACTTGATTACGATGAGGGAATATGTATCTAAAAAGTAGGGAAAATCAGTTGTCCTTAATGGCCTCTGTATGTTAAGTAAAAAATAAACTCTAATTCATATTCGACCATCTTAAAAATAAAAAAATAAGAAATTTGAATGAAATACCTATTAAACTGACAACTTCTGAAGAAAGCTAAATTACACTAAGGTAACTTAATCTAAATCAATTTATTCTCATCCAAGGAAGCTACATTTGAGATATGCCATATTTTTGACCAGACACCCTGTATGTCAGATATTTGAAAGAAATACATTGTGTCAGTTGTAATCAATATATCTGCATTGAGAGAAAGTTGCATTCTATATTAATTATAATTATTTATATTTTTATGTAAATCACAGTGTGAAGA